GATGTCCAATTGGATTGGAACTCCTATTAATCCCTAACACCCAATCAACTTAAATTAGCTTAATTACTATAAAATAGCTTCTTAATTTTATTGAAATCTACATGTGAACTAGAATCTGGGATTAAGTCAAATGGTTTCTGAAATAATTTGAAATTTTCATAAGAAACTAATTGGCTAAAATTGGATAAAGATTGAATTCCAATACCAAAATTTTATTTTTCATTTGAATATATTAATACAGGTTCCCTAGTCAAACAATGAAACAATACACGTAAATTGGCTGGAAATTATCAAATTCAACTTATCTAGTGGTTGCCAAAACGATTTAATTGCTTTATTAACTTTAATTACAATAGGACTCTATTTGAACTACCATAATTTAGGTCTAACTTATCGGAAATAACTTTTTCTTGAATACAAAATTCGCCATTTAAAATGAGTTTTGAAACAAACCCAATATCGATATGAAATTTCTCGCTAGAAGAATATTTGATTATTTGACCGAAAGCTAAAATTTTGATACAAATAATTATTTTTAAATTTGTCCTTCGGTATCTAAAATTAACAAAACATGTCACATGAGATAGATGAAAATTTATTTTCAATTGCTACAATGGCATGCATTCCAATATGTATGTTAACTTAAAAATGAAATTGATCACAAGGAAGATAGAATCAATGAATAGAAAATTTTCCCATATACTCAAATCAAGATTAAATTGAGTAAATTGGATATGTGACCCATGTGTGGAAAGTGCTACTAATTCCTTGTGAGCAAGACTCCAAACCTTAGATTTGTGATTGAGAAAATGCTAAACATCAATATAGCATGAGTATTTTCCTCTATTAATGAAAGAGAAATCTATTACTACTAGGACCAGTTAAATAAAAAAGATCATATTGATTTTTCGGTGCATGAATTTTCTTTCTTCTCCTATTAGCGCACAATTTTTTTCTTATATGCAATCTCATCTCCATTAAATTGCTAGGATGACCTCCGTAACGAGTTTTGGATTGATGACTCCAAGTTAGTTGACCACAAGGAATCAGGTCATGAAAAACCCCTCAAGTTTAATTGCTAGAATCAAATAAGCTCTAAAAACGAGAATAAGATAAAACTCACTTTGTAATATATTTCAAATTTTTTACTCTCGGTCAGCTCTTTCTGGTAAGAGAAATATCCTAGAGCTTTTGGTCAAACTAGTTACAGATCAATTCATGTTCAAGGTCACCTCTGATAGCCATCCCAAATCTCACACATCCGGTCAAGACTCACTTAGGAAATCATAGTGTGTTTTGTACAGATGGTACATGAAGAGATCTATACCAAGTACTCCACATAAATCTAAACAGGGTGATGGAAGTTACGTAATTATTCATCGATTGTATGCATACTTGGTCATAAAAGACAAGTTCAAGCAAATCACATACGATGCTGCAGACAAAATATTTTTATTTTTATTTATTTTTCTAATGAAGGAAACACAACTAAAAAAAAACACGTGGAATGAAATGTATGCAAGAATGAATGAACGACATGAACTGTATATGTATGTACCTAAGTACCTAATCAAAGAAGCACACAGACACCAATAGCTTTCATAAAAAAATCGAACTTCAAACCATCTAAGGGCTTAGTAAACAAGTCAGCTAATTGATCTTTTGTAAGATGTGTTCAAGAGATATAACATGGGTCTCTACAAGCTCTTGGATGAAGTGATGTCTAATATTAATATGTTTGGTTTGAGAATATTGCACAGGATTTTTGGAAATATTTTGTGTGATAGGACACAGTCACAATACCCTGCTTAATCCTATAATCACTCAACATTTGTTTCATCTAAAGCAGTTGAGTGCAATAGCTTCCCACAGCTATGTATTAGGCCTTAGATATGGATAAAGTGATAGAGTTTTATTTTTTACTCATTCAGGCTACAAGATTGGAACCAACATGGAAACATCCTCCCGATGTGCTCTTTCTATAATCAGCATTCCCAACCCAATCGGTATCGGGATATCCAGTAAGATCAAGATTAGAATCTCTAGAGTACAAGATTTCATGATCTACAATGACATTTACATATCGAATGATAAGCCTTACTGCACTTAAGTAGGATTCTTTAGGATAAGCCTGAAATCTCGTACATACCCCAACATTAAAAGCTATGTCAGGTCTATTGGCAATAAGATAAAGTAAACTACATATCATACTCCTATATAGTGTATGATTAACACTCTTACCTATAGGATCATGACCTAACTTAATACTCGTGCTAATGAGTGTTCCAGTGTGTTTCTTGCTGTCTAGCTCAAATTTCTTGACAAAAAGTCTTTTGTGTACTTTGATTGAGATATAAACAACCCAATATTAGTTTGCTTTACTTGGAAACTAAGAAAGTAATTTAATTCTCCAACCATACTCATATCAAATTCCTGCTTCATGCATTCAGAAAATTCATGAGCAAGAGAATCAATGAGAGAACCAAAGATGATATCATAGATATAAATCCATGCCATGGTGATGGTTTCTTCAATATATCTTATGAATAAAGTTTTGTCTATGCCTCCTCTGGGAAACCATGTTCGACTAGGTATACAGTAAGTCTATCATACCAAGCTCTAGAAGTTCGCTTAAGATTATATAAAGCTTTATTTAGTTTGTAGAGATAATGTGGAAACTTAAGGTAGATGAATCCTTTTGGTTGTTTAACATAAACTTCTTCTGAAGGTATTCTATGCAAGAAGGCTCTCTTGACATTCATTTGATATAGCTTGAAACTTAAGGTACAAGCAACGGTAAGAAGAATTCTCATGGACTCAAGACATGCAACAAGGACAAATGTCTCATCAAAATCAACACCTTCAACCTGAGTATATCTCTGAGCAGCTAGTCTAGCCTTGTTTTTTGATATGGTACCTTGATCGTCAATCTTATTTTTAAATATCAACTTAGTACCTATAACATTATAGTCGTCAAGCCTAGGTACCAAATACCATACATTGTTTCTAAAAAATTGATTTAGTTATCATGCATCGATCTACCCAGCATTCATGACTAAGGGCATCTTCGACTCTCTTAGGCTCAATCTGAGACACATAGCTAGCAAATGTCAGTTTGTTAAAGACCTCTAGGGAAGTCTCATCCCTTCATCTAAATCTCCAATAATATTGACCTTAGGATGATTAGACTTAACTCTAAATGAAGGCTCATTGAGAGGTTTGGATTTACCACTGGGTGATTGCTCCACTAGAAGGACTGAATTTTACTAGGAGATGGTTCGCTAGGAAGGCTAGAGCTCGTTGCTTTGGGCATAGTACACTTTAGAACCTAATAAAAAAGAAGAGTTATCTTGCACTAATCTTGATTTCTTTGAAATAGATTCTGCCGATTGTCGATTTTCTTATAGAAAAATCAAAATTGTTGGCAATGTTCAATCAATTCAAAATGCTAGAAGAATTAGCAATTATTTCTGAAAAGTTGCTTCTTCGACAGAATCTACTTCAAAGAAATCAAGCCATGTACAAGATAGCTATGGGATAGACAGGGATGAACTTATTGTTGAAGAAGAGACTTAAAAGGTTTCAAAATGACTATATAGACACATTTATTTAGATGAATATGAAAAATATCGGGCTCATAAGTAAAAAGATATTCTCTATTGAATGTGCTTGTCGCCTCAAAAATTATTATTGCCAGCATTATCGATACTCAAAATAAGATAAAACTTTAATAAAGTAACTTTATCAAAGGAGATTCCCATTATTTAAAAGGATGGGAGAAGACAACAAAAGTTTCAAAATTATGGCAGACAAAAGACTATAGCAAAGATAGATATTGTTATAATTATTTTCCTTCAAAATTTTTCAACAGAATTCAAGGAACATTTCAAGTTCGAAGACTCGTATATAAGGAGTTCAAAGCTTCAAGTTCTCCTCAAGTGTGCTTTAGCGGGAGAGAAAACCTCTTCAAGAAAAGTTCAGTAACCATGTATTAGTTTTTAACATTTAATCTTTCGATCTTATTTGGTCAATTTTGTAATTTCAATCTTGTGCTATCAATTTTAATTTTCAATAAAATCATATTTTTTTTCTTTTTCAAAGTGTTTCTTAATATTCACTCTTCTCTATCAGTATCACTTGGCCCTATTTGGTATCAGAGCCATAACTGAGTAAAGTGAGATTATTGTGAATTTTCATTTTAGAAATCGTGTCAAATGAGAACTAGGTTAAGCCTGGATATCTACTGAATAGTGTTGGTCAGGCCGTGTTTCTAGAATAGGTGTGTTTGGGTGGTCCCATTGTAAATTTGGCAAGAGTCAATCTATCATGTAGCATAGTGTTTTCATGGTATATGTAGGGTTAGGTTAGGCTTTTGTTGGGCCAATAATAAGATTAAATGGGCTAAGATTCAAAGCCATCCAAGATGTAATATATATGGGCCTTGAGTGACATTAATTTCTAAAGCCACTTTCAATGATCCACGTTTTCGGGTTGAGCCTTTGGATTTGGTGGTTCGTAACAATTTCACTCATTGATCAATGCTTATAAAATTCAATATGAGGTTTACATCATAGCATGGGATTCATTATGTATCAAAATCCAACACTAACTGTTCTGTTTGATTCTCAATATTTTTATAGTTGCTGAGTGATTCTGAAAGCTTGAGTCTCCTTTTGCCATGAATTGATTTGTCTTGTGCATATATTGGTCAGTTCTTTTTATGAATGACCTAAAATGTCTTCCAAACAGGATTTCTTGTCATGTTATGGAAAATAAAGAAGTGGCTGCTGTGTATGGTTTTGTTCATAATTCCAAGAAAAGTTACAGTGATGTTGGTTTGAATTGGGTTGTAGGTACTGGAGTGAGGATTTTCTGCTAGAACTAGAAGTTTTGTACATAAATTATCACCTGAAAATTATATGAAAGTGGCAGTCAATGGACAATATGAAGTTCGATGGTTCGTCTTGTTAAGAGATAAAAATTCCACATCGGTTAAATACCGAAATAAATATCAATTTATAAAGATATTGGGCTTCTCCACTTAAAATGTTGACCTTATTAAGATGGACACCAAATTTTAACATGGTATCAAAGCCCATTAAACTCCAACGAACGATTCAATCCAATTATAAGTCTCAATTAATGGAGCAATGGATTGCAAGATTTGTCTGCTCAAACGAGCCACCATCTTGCGAGGACGTGTTAAGAGATAAAAATCCCACATTAGTTAAACACCGAAATAAATACCAATTTATAAAGATATTGGGCTTTTCCACTTAAAATGTTGACCTTATTAAGATGGACCCAAGTTTTAACACGTCTCCACAGCTTCATAAATTGGACTAGTATTGTCTAATGTGCTGATGGTCTGAGTAGGGTTATCTGTTTCCTTTGTTATGGCTTCCCTTTCAGTGAATAATATTGGAACGATGTCAGCATTGTTGTTCCCCTCGTGATTTCCATATCAAATGGCCACATACACTCGTTCTAACCATTCTTCAATAAAAGCATATGTCTCTCAGACAGTCTTTTATTTTATCGACCTGTTAGATGATGAATCGACTTTAGGATGGCTAGAAGTAATCATGCATATAAATATTTGACCCGGGGTAATCTCAAAATCACCAACTAGAAATATTGATTGACTTTTTATCACTTGTGTAATCATAAATTCCCCAACTAACAGATCATTCTCAGAAATTACAGCGAGTTAAATGGCTTGTTCATGTGTGCATTCAATATCTGGCTAAAGGGGAAGAATCACCATGCCTCGAATTATAAGTAAGAAATGAAAAAAGAATGAACATATGTCTCTCAGACAGTCTTTTATTTTATCGACCTGTTAGATGATGAATCGACTTTAGGATGGCTAGAAGTAATCATGCATAGAAATATTTGACCCGGGGTAATCTCAAAATCACCAACTAGAAATATTGATTGACTTTTTATCACTTGTGTAATCATAAATTCCCCAACTAACGGATCATTCTTAGAAATTACACCGAGTTAAATGGCTTGTTCATGTGTACATTCAATATCTGGCTAAAGGGGAAGAATCACCATGCCTCGAATTATAAAGTAAGAAATGAAAAAAGAAAGAATGAAATACAGTAATTTTGAAAAGAAGAATCCAAAACTACAATAAAAAAGTAGAATACGAATTAAAGCTAAATTTAAAAGAAACTATAGTCTCCAACAATGGTACCAAAAACTTGTTCGTATGATCTACAAGTATGCGGTATCATGACAAGTAGTATTTTGAATGTCAGTCCAAGTATCGTTCCCTCAGATACTAGGCAATTTAATTGGAACCTATTTAAACTAACTTTAACTGTAACAAACAATTTTATAGAAATTTATAGTGGCAAAATTAAATTTATAATTAATTTAATTATCCATCTTTTAAACTAACTAAGAGGCATTTATGAAACTCAATTAATTTAAAGCACTATGACTTTGAATCCCCATATATTTCATCATCTTAATGTCAATTTCATTATTTGACAATACTTCTTTAGATTTTGTAATGTGAAGTTCACAAAAAACAGCGAACTTAATCAACAAAAATGCCGAAACTAATAAACATAAAAATGAAAAATAGAAGGAGATTGCAGAAAAATAAAATGAACACAGGGTTTTTGACCATAAGGCAAGAGGTTCGGAACTTCGTTCCTAATCCCCTTTTGAGCTTTCGTCAAATAGGAAGAAATCACTAAACCAATGAATCAATGAAGCTATCTAGATTGTACATCTCGTAGCACTCAGAACATCGCTCAAGATTATTCAACATAAGCCTTTCTAATCGATACAGCCATTCACTCAAGAATAGATGAAGATAATCTGTACAAATCACTCAAGATTATAAAATTTTGAGGCTCATATCGAAGGAAGTTTTTTGGACAGATTCTTTGGATCGAAAGAAGGAGAATCGTCTCTTGAGAGAGAGAGAGAGAGATGAAGCGGCGGAATGAGAGAGAGAGTGAAAAAACCAGATTCTAATCTTGTAGAAACCCTAATGAGGGTTAAGTAGAAGGCCCTAGAAGTCTTGCAATCCAATGGTGAGTAATACAACACTTGGCAAGATCATGGTCATTGCTTCAATTGTATAGAAATCGTGTTTTAATAACATGATTTTTGCCAACATTAAGTTAATTATTTTTCTCTTGGACTAATCGGCCGAGCAGCCCAGCAGAAGTATTATGTCAGCCCAACATCATTGTGCCACATTTCTTCACATTATCCACCTTGGTACAATGATTTCAATTTCATCTATAGTGATTTCTCCAGTTTTTTACATCATTTGCTCTTATTCTTGATACACAAATCAGCAAAAGTTAATGTTTAGCTGTTTTAAATAGTCAAAAACTTATTTAAAGGCAGCACATTGTTCCAACATCAGTAGGATTAAATTGTGTAGAAATCTTTTCAAATTTAACAACACCTTGAGAAATTACATAAAATGAAATTTCACATCGACATGTTTTGATCTATTATGAAGCACATAATTTCTACTCAAA